AGGAAGCAGAGCACAGCCTGGCTGGGAGGGAGGCTTTGCAAGCTCAGATGACGTGCTCCTGCCCTCCCAGCTGTGGGCTATTCCCAGTAACTCCCACAGCTGGTGGGTCGGGGCCCTAAATCTGCGGCCCTAGGGATCCTTCAGGGTGATACGAGGGAAGTCTGAGGGGCTCACCTACCTCAGGACCCCAAACTTCGCCACCCAGACTGCCCTTTTAGGAATCTTTCACCTGATGACTCTGGGTCTAACTTAATTAAAAAGTCCCAGGCTTGGCAGGGGTGAAGGTGTGTGGTAGAGGCGGGGAAGCCCCTGCCCTTGGGGAGCATCTAGAACAACTGGAACCAAAGCTGGTGCAGGCTGCATGGGCAGGAGCTGAAGCCGGCTCCATGGGCTGGGCCGGTAAGGCCTGGACTGTCCCAGGCAGAGGACCTCAGAGGACAGCAGGGTTGGGGTGGATGGGGGAGGGACCCCCCAGAGCAGGACCCAGTTGCTGCTGGCTGGCTAGTGCCGTGCTGGGCAAAGGCATCCTGGCCAGGGGAGGGGCCAGCCAGATCTACCACAGCGCCAGGCCTAGCTGGGGCCAGAGGAGAAAAGGAAAGAGGGGCGGTGACTACAGGCTCCGACTTTCAAGAGAAGAGGAGGTGACACGGCAGGCACCCCCCTCCACCCCCTCATGGGCTCACAGGTGCCACATTCAGACAACATGAGTACCCACATAAACATTCCCGTCAGCCCGTAAGACATCACGGTGCGTGAATCTCAAGACGCATTGTTTATTCCATGGGAGAATGAGCTCAAGGCAAGGGCCCCTGGGTGGGAGAGGATGGGGGAGTGGTGAAGTTCCAGGTGGCCCTGGGACCCAGTCGTGGTCCTTCTCAGGCACGACTGCAAGCCCGTCGGCGCTGAGTCCATTTGCAGGCTCTGGACAAGTCTCTGTCTTCTCTGTCCCAAATATGGGGACGCATCCTGCACAGCACCCCCAGAAGGCTGTGTCCAGTCTACCTGCAGAGAACTCCCCACTCCAGATCACTTTCCTGTTGCCCTTCTATCCAGGCCCTTTGGCAAGAGCTGGTGAGCAGGGGCTGGAGTGGGGCGAGGGAGGCCGCTCTGGCGGGCCGGCTTCATAGTCCGTCTGAGAGTCCAGAGGAGAGATGAGCTGTGAGTCCGGTGACCTCGAAGCAGTCTGTGAGGCCCTGGAGGTTGTGCTCGGGGCGTGAGGTGCCGGCCCCTCACTCCTGGCCTGGGTGCTCGCCCACGGACCACTTCACCTCCCCTGTCCGCAGAGTCACGATGTCCTCGTAGGTGGCTGTCTGGTCAATGTCCAGGCCCTGCAGACATGAAATGGAGCTCAAGCCTGGGTCACACCCAGCCATAGTGACAAATGGGGCTGATGGAGCACTTGCCTCAGAGCAGCCAGGAGCCCCTGCTGCTTACCTCATAGGTGTGATCTTCCTCCATGCCGGCCTTGCTGTCATCCTGGGGGCGGAGGGACAGGGATCAGAGTGGTAGTGGCCCCAGCCCCAGACTGTGCTGGGGCAGACTGGGGAGGGGCAGGGAGCTGGGCCTGGGGCTCAGGGGGGCAGGGTGATGCTCGCCCAAGAACAACTGGCTGAATTAATGAGTGGCCAGTGGGCAGCTTCTGGGGTTGGGCCGGGGAGGCCAGAACCAGGGCCGGGGAGCCGCAGACCCGCCTGTGTCTGGCCTCCCTGCAGTCCCCCTGCTGGCCCCAGGGCCCCCGCTGCCCTGGTCACCTTGTCCAGCAGCAGGAAGATGGGCACGATGATGAAGACGATGATGAGCAGCGTCTGGATCATGATGATGCCGTCTTTCAGCGTGTTCCGCCGCTTCAGCTGCGCCAGGGTGCTGAACCCTAGGGGCGAGGGCGGGGCCGTGAGGCTGAGTGGCAGGTTCTCCTTGGGGTCTACACTTTGGGCTTGCAGTGGGGTGTGCACCCTCAGGACCTGCTTCCTGAGAGCTCCAGGGCCACAGCCACCTGCACAGGCGGCCCCCGTCCACCGGTGGCAGGCCAGGCAGAGGTGGGCCCGATGGCTACGCGAAGCCGCGTCCCGGCACGTACCCATCACGCGCAGCTCGGTGCCGCAGCCCAGCTCCCTCTGGGAGGCCCCGATGCACTCGTGCTGGCAGAAGTAGATGCCGCTGTCCTCAGACTGGATGCCGATGATGGTGAGGTTGGACATGCTGCCTTCCTCGGTCTGCTCTATGCGGCCCTTCTCCAGGTGCAGCAGCTGGGGCTCCCGGTCTGTTTCCCGCTGCAGGAGCAACTTCACCGTGCCCAAGCTGGAACTGCCTAAGTGGCACTGCATTGTCACCCTGGAGCCTCGTTTCTTGGCCATGAAACGTGGGTTCTGCCAGATCCAGGAACAAGGGCTTCCTGTGGGCACCAAGGCCAGGCTCAAAATCCCACTTGGTAGCCCTGACCACCAGCCCTGCTGCAGCCCTGCCCCAGGTGGCCCTGACCTCCAGGCCCAGCCTCCTCAGCTACCCTTGCTTCTCAGGGTGTGGGACAGGCGAGAGGCAGAGGTGTGCGGAGCCGAGCCATGTGAGAGGCCGTGGACCAAGCCACCTGCCCCTTCCTGCCCACCCCTCCCCCCATCCAGCGTTCCTCTAGAAAAGGCCTGGAGGCCCATGGGACAAGCCTAGGCCTACCCTGGTGCTTCTGCTTCTGGGCTCCCCTGCACTCCCCTGAACCTGTTTGAAGTTCTCAGGGCTCCCCGACAACCTCCAGGGGATAAAGGCCAAGCCCTTTGCCTAGCATTGGGGTCATCGGCTCTCTGCCTATCTTCCCCCATCGTTCCCCTACCCTCCTGCATGGCCCTGCTCTGCTGTTTACTCCTGAACCCGCGTCCTCGGTCAGAATGCTCTCCCTCTGCTCGGAAGATCCTCCCTCCTGCTTCGCTCCCAGAGAATGGCCCCTGGGAAATCCCTGATCTCCTCACACGGCAAATCCTGCCGGAAGGACTCAGTCCAAGGCTGGGCCTGGCTCCCACTGGGCCTGAGGCCTTGGTGGAGCCCTTGTGGCTCCCTCTTCTGGTGCCCAGGTGTACCGCAGCCCCTCTGTGGCCAGCACTGTGTGGGGTGAGGATGACAGCTGGCTAGGCTGGGACCTGGGGGTGGGAGTCCTGCATGGGACAGGGATAGCCCTGGGACCATGACCAGCACTGGACACGGGCATCCTGGTCTCCAGAAGGGGCGGGCGGGCTCACTGACCTTCGGGGTTCTGGTACAAGTCCTTTGTCTCGGCAGCTGGCACCGGCTCGCCTGCTGGGTGGGAGGAGGTGGGTGGGGCTGGGTCAGAGCCGCCCCCTCTGAGCTGGCTGCCCCACCCCTGCACCCCGTGCATTCCCAGGACCACTTCCTCCCAGGACAGCAGCTTCAAGACTCCTCCCTGCCCCCTGTATGGGGAGACAAGAGCAGACTGGGAGGACCAGAATGCCCAGCCCCAGCCCTAGCCCCCATTCTGCTTTTGGCCCTCGGTGGCCTTGAGCAGGTCTCTAAACAAGGCCGTGGGGAAGTTATGGCCTGGAGGAGTCTCCCATCTTCCAGCTGAGGAGGGACTGTTTCTGGAACATGCATTTCCCAAGGTCAGGCTGGGACAGCCTCTCCCCCACCTCACCTGCACGGTTCCCCAGGGCCTGGGGCTGAGCCACTGTCTCTTCTCCTGGGGCCCAGCCTGGCTGTGGTCACAGCTGCCGAGTCTAGTTCCTTTCAAGCCCAGCTCAGCCCAACACCCACCAGGCACGAGAGGGGTTAGGGCTACAGACCCAGAACCCATGACCAGGCTGAGACCCCAGACCTAGGCCTCAGGGTGTCCAGGGGGCAGAAAGTAAGCGAGACCCAGGAAGGAGCTGGAGAGAGCGGGAGTCATGCCTGCAGGGCCAGCCAGAGTGGGCGAGCGGGTTGTGGGCCTACCTGAGAGCAGCAGCAGTGCCACCAGCAGCCAGGTGCTGGGCGCGGGGGGCAGCAGCAGCCCGGCCATGGTCCCGCGCCGTCCCGACCCCAAGCCCGGGACCACGTCTGAGGCTTCTGGGGGAAAACGTGTAACTGCCCGGACTGCAGCCTGTCCCCTCCCCGCCTCTTCCCCACCAGGCCACTTCCTGCCATGCAAATCGGGACCCAGGGGAGGCACCAGCTCTCCGGGGACCCTGGGGGAGGGTGGGCTCTTGTCAGCTGGCTTGAAGGTGGGCCAGCTTAGGAAGCACAGCTGGGGTCTTTGTGACCGCCCCTGGGAGGGGCCTCTGAGTCTTCTGGGGGCAGCCTGTGCTCGCCTCTCAGCATCCCGCCCCTCCCGTGGCCACCCCCTGGGCCTGCCAGCCTCCACCTGCAGGAGGGCAGAACCCGGAGTCTTAGCTGATTCTGGACACAGCGGAACACACGGGGCTGTGAATAAATCCTAGCTTGGCCGCCGTGGCCTGGACCAGCCCTCCCTGCGCTCTCGGAGAGGAGCACCGGGAAGGACAGTGCGGGGAACCAGGAGCAGCCATGCACCCAGACCAGGCAGAGCCCCTTGGCTGGAGTGCAGGCAGACTTGGAAGTTGGCCCTGTGGAGGAAGGGAGCCACAGAGGTTCTTGAGTGAGAGCAGGCCACGTGTGGCAGACGCTTGGGAAAAGATTTGGTCCAGGACCTGGCAAGAGGCCCCCCTTCCTTGTGCTGTGGGTGGGTTTGCTGAAAGGGGAGAACTCAGGCAGAGATGAGGCACCAGGGGGATTCTTTGGAGGCCCTAAGCATAGGACTCAGGACACTGGAGGGTCATCTGCAGCTCCAGGGCTTCTCAGGTGGGAGACAGGCGACCTGGGTTGGGGAGCCTCTGTGCTCCACCCTACCAGTGTGCGGGCGGTGGACAGCACCCTGGTGTCGGGAGCTGGCCCAGGCTCAGTGTGGTGCCCCCTGCCCTGGTCTGATACACCCCGTCGCCCCTGGGGGACACCCTTGTGCAGGGCACAGGCTGCACAGCTGCACCTGGCAGGCTCGCAGAACTCAGCCCTGCAGTCTGAGTGTCGTCCCCTTGCTGCTTGTCTTTTCTCTTCTGTCCCCTCGCCTCTCTCGACCCGAGTCTCTCAGAACAGAGGTGCTGTCCTCGGTGTCCTGCCCCATCCCACCATCCCCACAGCCCTTCATTTTCAAATGGCCCGTGATGCCAGGTCTGTGTGGGTTCAGGAGGATGCCGACGTGCCTGCCATGCTCAGAAGGCAGAGGGCCTGGTGCCCTCGCCGCCGTCCCGGGCCTAGGTTTTAGGAAGAGATAGGGTGGGGCGATTCTGGCACAGGCCAGGGCCTGAGCTGTGGAAACTGGGGACAGGAAGATTAAGGCTTCATCGAGGAACAGCTCATTCCAGGCAGTCCCAGATGTGTTTGCTTGTTTCCAGATGTTCTAAATGAAAAAACATTTCTCTGAAAAGGTGTCAGGTGTTCAGTTCATAGAACAAACAGCCCAGGAAGAAAAACATCACTGGAGGCCACCTTGGGGACCACGGGCCCCTGTGCCGGCGGGGGTTGGAGGATGGGGAGCAGGGTGAAGCCCACTGACTCACAAACTCCACCTCCTCCCAAGCCCCTCATGACAGAGGCCCTGATCGACTTGGGAGGTAGTGAACCCCCCAATTTGGGAGGATGATTTGGGAAGGCTGGGGTGCAGGTGTCATACTAGTGTGTTGCCTGGGCCCTGAGGTGTCAGCTGCTCGGGAGCTGGTCCTGGGGCCCAGGGTGCTGGGAGGGGGCCCGGAGGTTGGCACACACACCAACGTCCCCCATGGGCAGGGATGCAGATGTGTCCTGTGGACCTCATCCCCATTCATGGAGCAGGGATTCGCTTTCAGGAGGGCAGAGGCTCCACGGCCCCCAGGCTTATTTGTCACAGTTGGGGCCAAGCTGTTCCCTCGCCAGTGACAACAGCACTGAGCCCTGTCCTGGGTCCATGACGTGCTCTTCTTCCCAGAACAGACGGCCTCGGAGGCCACCCATGTCTCTGCCCTCGGCCGCCCCAGGCTGCACACCCTGACATCTGGCACCCCCTCCCACCTTTCCAGGAAGTCAGCACCAAAACAAGAGATGGGGTGGGGGAGGGTGCCAGGGGAAGGGACCAGGGGCAGAGGGCGGGGGGGCAAAAAGGCAGGGACCCCACCACCTGGGGAAGAACTTCTGGAAAAGAAGAGCTCAGGCTTCCTGGTCTGCTGGGCTTGCTGTTACCTGGAGGAGACCTGCTGGCTAGGAGGGGTGTGGGTTCAAATCCTGACTCTGCAGTGTGCCCACCCAAGAGCCTCCTTGGGTTACCAGGGGTTCTCCACTAGGGGCGCTGCACCAGGAAGAAATTCCTTGGGGCAGTTGCGATGGTCACAATGACCAGAGGGTGCCTCTGGGTGCTGGAGACCCCAGGGAGGAGGGACAGTGGCTCCCTGCCCCACATATGGACAGCACCCCAGTTAGGCAACACCCGTTCATAACTTCTCAGAGACCATTTCCTCGCTGCTGTAAGAAACCCTGGTGGCCACCCTCTCAGGGCGGCTGTGCACACCGAGACAAGCCTGGATCTGAGGAAGCTGGGGTGGGGCTGGAAGCCAGGGCACTCAGCAAGGTGGCAGGGAGTGCTGATCCCGAGTGCCACGGAGCCATGTGGAACGTCAGGCTGTTTCTCGCCCAGCATTTGTCTTTCCCTTCTGTCAGTCAAGGCTCAGGGAAGGGTGGGCCTGGGCACCTGTGGATCATCTCGTCCTTGAGAGAGAGAGGACCCAGAGGAGGAGCCCCCTCAACACACACACACCAGGAAAGGTAGTCAGCACCCTAGTGGGGGCTCTAAGAACCCACAGAGATGCTTGACACCCCCAGCCCCAGCCCTGACACACAACTGCAAGGTGGGAAGGTAGGAAGGAGCTATAGAGATGGTTGGGGGCCATCTTGGGGCAGCCAATGGGCCAAGGCCATTAGGGCCCCTTCTTATCCCATTCCACCAGGTGCCAGGTAACCCCAGGATGTAGGAAAAGGGGTACAGAAATCCTGAAAAGGATTAAGCTTGCTAGTTGGGAAGAATATAGCCCTGAGAGCCAGAAGTTGCTATAGAAAATAAAAATATTCACTCACTGGGCTGCGGCTGAAGTTGCTACATAAGAATAGTCTCTGTTGGGACCAGCAGTTGGCGTAATGGCTATGTCGCTGGACTCCCATGTAGTCGACCATGGTTTGAGTCCTGGACCCAGTGGCTTAAACTCATGCCAGGCGTGTGTGCGTGTGTGCCCAAGATCCCGAGAGGAGAATGGAGGAGAAGGGATTATGGCATGGCCATCCCCCCGGGGGTGATTTCTTGCTTTCTGTCTCTCTGTCTCTGTCTTTCTGGAGAGTGCACGTGCCCTATAGCAAAACAAAACAAAACAAAACAAAAACAAAAAACAAAAAAACCCCAAAAAAACCCCAGCTCTCTCAAAAAACAAACACAAATCGTCTGTCCCAGATCCATGTGACCCTGGGCTCCCTGGGGTAGAGATCAGAGGCAGAGTCCTGGAAGTCAGTACTTCTGAGGAGAGGGAGAGGCTGCACTGTATGCTCCTGGGTGCCCTGAGGTCTCTGAAGGGGCAGAGACATGAAGGATGAAGGGGGCTTCAGGGAGGAAGGACTGGGGACACAGGGTCCCAGTGCATACTTCCTAGGTGCTGCCGTGGGGGTAGAGGGAGCATGGTGCTGGATTTAGGGGAGCAGGGCATGACCCCAGACCCCACCTGGCTTCTTGGCATCTGACTTTTGGAGGGGGACAGGAGAAAGTGAGAGTGGGGCCCTCCTAACCCTGCCTTCTCTCCCTGTCTTCCCCACTTGGCTTCAGTCCTCACAAGCCTTTCTCATTCTCGCTGCCCTCAGCCCCCACCCGCAGGTACGTAAGGAGGCACAGAGGGAGAAGCCCACGCAGCAGAGGCACCAGGGGAGGGTTTATTGTAAGAACTGTACAAAGGAGGCCGTCTGCCGGCCTGGCTCAGGCCTGTTCCCACCTGGACAAGTGGGAGTGGGTGTCGGTCTGCAGGGGAGGGGGCCAGAGGCAGAGGGGGCCAGACCCTGATCAGCTTCTCTTCCTCTACAATCTGTGCACAGTCTTGGGGAGTATCCAGTCCCACCGACTTGAGGCTCTGGGGCTACCCCAGTCTGGGGCCCAAGAGGGAAAGTTAGAGGGACAGAGTTCTGGGCTGGGGGTGGCTGACCCATCCAGAGGAAGAGACAGATCACTGCAGCAGAAGGTGGAAGAAGTAAAGCCTCCTTCCACAGGAGACCCAGGCAGGAGACAGGAAGCAGGGCTAAGGCCACAGGCGTGACGAGAAGCAGAGGAAGGGCAAGGGGGAATTCATGGAGAGAGAGGCCAGGCAGGATGGGAAGAGGTGAGAGAGCTGGACAGACAACAAGGAGGACTCTGGCCCATGGGCATGTGTGTATACACACAGATATGTACGCACACACGCACGCACGCACGCACACACACACACACAACTTGTTTGGAAGCTTCCTGAGTTAATTAAACTATTCATAAGAAACAAGAAGGAAGGGAACCAGTAGTTAGCGTAATGGCTATGTTGCTGGACTCCCATGTAGTCGGCCGCGGTTCGCGTCCCGGACCCGGTGGGTTAAAACTCACGCCGGGCGCGTGTGCATGCGTGCCCAAGATCCCGAGAGGAGAATGGAGGAGAAGGGATTGCGGCGTGACCATCCCCTCTGGGGGGTGATTTCTCGCTTTCTGTCTCTCTGTTTCTCTCTGTCTGGTGAGTGCACGCGCCCTATAGTGAAAACCTCTTCAAAAAAAAAAAAAAGAAAAAGAAAAGAAACAACAAGAAGGAAAAGAAGAGGAACTAGGGCCAACAGGGGACTCACAGTGCAAACCTGAACACAAGTGTTCACACTCATCCACACACTCAGTGTAGGCACACTCTCCCGCATACAGGCACACTCACGTGAATAGGTCTGCACAGAAGACAAACACCAATTGAACTCATAGATCTCAGACACTCCAGGACACATTGACACACATACACACGAAGATATGCAGACACAGATATACAGGCAGGCACCAGTACACAGCAGTTCACACACTCATGGTCACACATTTGAACACGCACATAG